ACATAAATGTTGACAAACATGAAAGTTATAGCGAAAAATAAAATTTTAAATTTCCACTTTAACACCCTGTATCTTTCTTAATATTAACATTTTATTAAAGCAACTTGACTTAAATCGTAATATCTTAAAGTGTAGAATCTACGGTTTCTTTTTGTACAATTACTTAAGGACCACCCTGTATATATTGGTGTAAAATTAACGAGTTGTAGCTCTTCTGGTTAATTATGATGTATTTAACATCGCGTTTTATAACGTTTTCCAATTTAATTTTCTTAAGTGACCCTTTATATAGTTCACCGTATTTTATGATTAAATAAATTCTTTCTCGTATATCACATGTTTTACTTTAGTGTAAGATACGTTTCGAGAGGATAATTTTTCTAATTATGCTTGGTATGTTTTATAATCTGCAGCAATTATTTAAAAAAAATTAAATTTGATTTTCCACGACTTTGGAATATTGGTTAAAACTTTTTTCAAACTTATGAGGCTCTAAATATCTACATTTTTTGCGTTCGACTGCATCGACTTCTTGTACACAGCTGCAACCCGATTCGCCAAGCTTTTGTTATATTATTTTTATCTGACCCGAAGAATTTGATTGCAAAAAATGTTGCACAGCAAATGTCATTATTGAATATTTATTTTGTGGAATACCGCCATAGAATCTGACCATAGAATTAATTTTTCAAGTGTAAGATTATCTAGTACTACTTTTTTAAGTATTTTAATTAAAGCACACGACTTATGAAGTCCGCTTATACCAGAAATCTTTTCATGCTATAAGGCATTATATAGGATCTTAGTTTTGTCAAAATGAGCAGGTAAATTATAACAAGAAAATTTTGTTTTGTAATAAAAATTGCTTACGTTAGATTTTGGTGATAAAAAAACTATTTGCAGATCAAAACATAAAATGCCAACACGTTTGCTCTCAGAGGATATAAATTCGTCTCGGTTTTTTTTCCTGATTTACCAAATTCTTATTTTTCTTGTGAGTTTCAAATTTTAAAATATCTACTTCAGCCGGATTAGTAAGAGAATTTTATGATGCCTTCTTCTTCTTAGGGTGCCTGTCCGTTCCGAACGTTGGCGATCATTCTGGCTATGATGATTTTGTTGGTTGCCTACTTATCGCATATATCTTTCTTGCGACAAAAGAATGTCAACTTAAATTGAGTATTGGATATTGTCCGATACATATTACATTTGACTGGTTCTGATTCTTTTGAAGTTGAAGTGAAGTTTTGTAAAAATCATACATTTTTTGTAAATTTAAATTTCTTTCCAAATATTGTCTGGTAGACAATAATGAGAGTCGACTGTTTGAAAAGGGTTAATCTGTTCGCGTAATTTTTGTTTTTTCCCTCTAACATCATCTTTTACACTTTAAAAAAGTAGTAAATTCTCTGTTTACTAATATTTAAGGTACTAAAAAAGTAGCGTTGGCAAACTTTAATTTTAACTCCACATACTTACATAAAAAAAATTTATTTGAAAATGTTTTTTTACTGGTTTCATTTTTTTGTTCTTTTTTTTTACTGCCAAAATACGCTTCACATGTTTTAAGTAGAGCTGATCATTTTTGTCGTCATTAAGAGACCAAAACTCTCGATAAATTATATTTCTCTCGTCAGGAGTAATTTTAGTAGTACCTACACTGTAATACACATTTTTCAGATCGACGTGTCTTTATTTTTACAGTTTTCTTTTCCCTGGTTTAATTCATTGTATCTACAAATTTTTGTCCAGATTGTCGTTTGTGTTTTCTTATATTTTGTTTTCAGTCTGATGATCTTCTTTTTCATTTTCGACTGTTCACCGCAGGTTTAATAACTTCTTCATTAATGTTCTCTTCTTTATCTACTGTTTTAATTTTAGTCTAAGTAAGATAGACGTAACACTGTTTTTTTTTTTAAATTTCTAGTCCTTTTCAACAATAATGACATTTTTCGGAATAATACCAAAGATCCAATGTTTTTTAAAAAGAACGACATAAAAAGTTATTTATTTTTCTTTAGACAAAATACTGCGAAACAAATTACGGAAAACATTAGGTCTTGTTTAATTACAATATCCGTATATATATATATATATATATATATATATATATATATATATATATATATATATATATATATATATATATATATATACAACGCAAAAGTCTAGGGATATTTTTATAAATAGACGTATTTTGTATGTTTCACATACCACCATAAAATGTCAAAACTACGAAATATAAACTTAAAATAAAGTATGGCCACCACGTTGATTTATTATATCTCTACATCTACTGTTCATGCTTTGAATCACATTGTTAATGTCTGCTTGAGGTAGCTGTGTTCATTGTTCTCTCAGAAGCTCTTTTAGTTGAAACTCATTGTAGATATTGCCATTATATGGAGTAATTCTTCGTTGGAGCATATCCCATATATGCTCAATGGGATTCAAGTACGGTGATTGAGCTGGCCACGGCAATACATCAATACCCTCGTTATCCAACCTCGTTGTTACAATATGTGCAACATGTGGTCGAAACTTATCATGCATAAAATAAAAATTTTCTCCAAGATCAGCAGCAAACAGGCGCACAACAGGTTCAAGGATAGTGTCCAAATATTGCTAACTTGTGGGAAAGCCGCATGGGAAAATGAGGTCAGTTCTTCCGTCAATCATGATTCCGCCCCATTCCGTTAATGTACCACCTCTGAATGCATACACTTCCTGAAGATGTTATAATCGTTCTCCATTTCCGGGTCGTCTCCAAATTCTTGTCATTGTCAGTCCAATTCTGAGACTCTTGACACTGGGTTAATCTTGCAGCGCGATTGTCTCTAGATAGAGGTGGACATAGAGACGATTCCTCACAGTACTGCTGCTAATTGTTAGATTATGTGCAATCTCTAATTCACCCCAGCTGGGGTGCTGTGATTGTTGGCTGCTTTTTGGCATTTAAAATTAAATATCGGTCTTGAGCGACGACTATAAAGCGAGCACGTCCTGGATGTTCCTCAGCTGGACTCCCAGTGTCTCTAAAACGACGCTACAAACGACTTACGACGCTTTAGGAGACACCCAGCTGGTCAGCAACTTGTGTTTGTCGCATACCAGCTTGAAGGAGGCTCACGGCTCTATTCATCTCGTCCAACGTTAAATGTTGTCGTTGCATGGTAAAAAGACAATATCTTTAACCCACCTATTAAGCAAGAATTGTATAACGTGACTAAAATTAAAAACAAAATAAACTTAAAAATGTCGATTTTTTATTCCCTTATAAAAAACATTCTAAAACATGTATTGCTATCAGTTTTATAATTTTTTTTGATAAAAAGTGAGTGTCTGTATTAACAATTATAGTACAAGCAATTTTATATGTCATGAAATGTATGTCATTGGTATTGTCAAATTATTAAAATATCCTTAGACTTTTGCATTGTATATATATATATATATATATATATATATATATATATATATATATACGTAAATATATATATATATATATATATATATATATATATATATATATGTCAAAGATTAAATCATTTAGCGAAAGCCGCTGTCGCTTTATTAAATTAAATTGCCAAATATATGGCCTAAGAGAACAAATTCGTTAAACTCCCGTGCTCGAATCGGTATCAATAAAGTGTTATGATCATTTCGACCTATCCCAGCCTCATCAGACACTTGGGCTTGGACTTGGGCAAAATTTCACTACACCATAGTTAGCTTACAAAGGCGCCACCTGCTTTGGCGGCTGTGAACGAAACGATATGATAATATCGTTTTCTGTATCCTTTGCGCTATGCGAAATGTGTAAAAGATTAAATCTTTTAGCGAAAGCCGCTATCGCTTTATTGAACTAAATGGCCAAACATATGGCCTAGAAGAACAAATTCGTTAAAGTTCCCGTACTCGAATCGGTATCAATAAAGTGCTATGACCATTTCGGCCTATCAAAGCCTCACCAGACACTTGGGCTGATACAAATTCAAACTCGGAAAGTCCAACGAATGTTTCCCAAAACTTCACTATACCGTAGTTAGCTTACAAAGGCGCCACCTGCTTTGGCGGCCGTGAACGAAACGATATATATGGCCTAGGAGAACAAATTCGTTAAACTTCCCGTGCTCGAATCGGTGTCAATAAAGTGTTTCGCATAGCGCAAAAGATACAGAAAACGATATTATCATATCGTTTCGTTTACAGCAGCCAAAGCAGGTGACACCTTTGTAAGCTAACTACGGTGTAGTGAAGTTTTGGGAGACATTCGTTGGACTTTTCGAGTTTGAATTTGTATCAGCCCAAGTGTCTGATGAGGCTGGGATATGCCGAAATGATTAAAACACTTTATTGATACCGATTCGAGCACGGGAAGTTTAACGAATTTGTTATCCTAGGCCATATATATATATATATATATATATATATATATATATATATATATATATATATATATATATAAATATATATATATATATATAAATATATATATATATATATATATATATACCAACTTACTTATGTTTTATAGAAAGCCGCGTAAGTAATGTGAAACTAGAAATGAGTTGATAAAATCTTTATTGGCGTTTTCTCAAAACTTTCCTTTTTGTAATTATGACGTTCTTGTCGCAAATGAGCGATATGTACACGTACAGTCCGGTATTAAGCACATTATGCGTAATTGATATAGAACACTATAACTCTACTTACAATTTTTATTTACGTATTTACGTATTTATTTTAAATATTGACAGGATATAGAACAAAACAATTTTACATTTATTTTGAGGCATAGGGATATAGAACTAAATATTACTGAAAACTTTTATTTGGTAGAGAATATTATTATGATTTCAAAGGATATAGAACAAGCGAATTTGTACAAAAATTTCTATGCCAAATAATAATAATATAAAACTCAAAAGTGCCAAAAAGTGGACTTAGAACAGTATAAATCTAGAGTGACGATATATTAGTAAAATTAAAAGTAATACCTGAATTCGATTTGTGCATAAAACTTTTCTTTCTTACAGGGCCTTCATCTACATGACTAGCTGCAGATACTTTCCTACTTGATGGCTTGCTAGATTGTTCAAATGCATGATTAAGGTGACTATGGTGCAGGTGGGATGGTTCTAAATGTCGATTAAAATGTGGATAATGATCTCCCGATTGATCATAGGAATGGTTTAGATGCCCATTGGAATGCTCTAATTGATGAGATTTTACATTATCGGCCGGCGGACCTGAATGTGTTTCATTGTCCATCTTATCCTAAAATAAAATTAAAAAAAAAAAGTATAATAAAAATTAAGTAATATTGTATAATGTCGTATATTATAATTTAATTTGCTTAAAAAAGACACTTTCTATATTAAAATAATAATAATTTGTTTAAACTTGTGTCAAAATTATGTGTTTAAACAAAAATTGTTTAAATACCTATACAGCTTCCAAATGAGAATGTTTGTACTTAGACCGTTAAAAGGCACAAGTTTGGTAAGTTTTTCTAAAAAAAAGTCTACAACATAGGAAATAATGTAGATTAACTTGGTTATAATTATAAATCAGAAATCAAAAATAAGCTTAGTCATATCCGTTTAATTTATAATTATATAAACTCTTATTTAGAAAAATAAAATTACGTTGGTTTTGGTCCAATTTATATGCGCCTGGGCTTGTATACAAGTCCCTTCCCATGTCAGTTGGCCTACCTATGGAATTGCAGTTTAAGTCAATTACCAGAAACATATTATACTCTGCATGTTTTTATAAGTTCCCATATTAATTAATATGAAATTTTTATTAATATTTATTAAAAACATTACCCTTATGGTTTTTTATTTAACTTTCAACCTAAATTTCACTGAACCCTGGCTATGCATTCACTTATGTCAACATACGTTGATTTTTGCATAATTAATTTAAATCCAGAGATGGCTATGGAAAATGACATCAAACCAATAATAATGTCAGTTAATGTCAATTGAGTGGTTCCAAGGAGTAGTGATGCGCAATATAAGGTGTTGCTTTCTGATAACACCTCTAGCCACTTCTACTCAATTACAATCCTCACCTCCAAGAAGTGGAGGATCCTGGCAAACCTGAGCAACCCTACCGAAGATTGGGTAACCAACCCCAGTGGAAAGTAGGGTCAGGGCCGGCTAGGAAGGGAAAAATGGTCCTCCGAAAAGGGGGTTAGGCATAGAGCTAACAACTCTATCCTAGAAAACACACATGTTGCAAATATTCAAGGAAAGAAAACCGGACTGATCAAACGACGACGACTGCGCGAGAAAAAGGTACATGATTTAAGAATCGAGACATGGAACATCCGATCCCTATACAGATCGGAAGCCCTTCAAAATCTGCTCGGTGAACTGAATAGATATGACAGAGATATAACACCTCTGTAGGAAATTAGATGGACCGGCAGTGGCACCATTGAAAAAAGACATCACATTATATTCTATAGTTGCTACGCTAAACACGACGCACTAGGTACTGGCTTCATTGTAAATAAAAATGTTAAACACCTCGTAAGAGACTTTCGTGCTATCAACTCTAGGATGTGCATCCTGAGACTCTTTTTTAATTATAGCATCTTAAATGTGCATACCCCTACAGAGGAAAAGATAGACGATGTCAAAGAAAAATTCTATGAAGAACTAGAAGCTGCATACTATTCATGCCCAAAGAATGACATCAAAATTATTTATGGTGATTTCAACGCAAAAATAGGAAAAGAGCAACAATACCTACCAACTATAGGTAAGCACAGCCTTCATGAGGTATCCAATGACAATGGCATCAGACTAATAAATCTAGCAACTTCCCTTAACATGGTCATTGCCAGCACATGCTTCCAGCGAAAAATTATTCATAAGGAAACGTGGAGATCTTCAGATGGGGTCACAGTAAACATGATCGATCATGTTTTTATTGACTCTAGACATCACTCAGATGTAATAAACGTATGCAGCAGAAGAGGGGCAAATGTAGACTCGGGTCACTACCTAGTGGAAAGTAAAATAAGAGACAGAATCTCAAACATTAAAAAAGAAAAAGGGATCCAAAATTGAAAAATATAAAATAAAAAACTTAGCAGACAATAGCAAAAAGGCAAAATACAAAGCATATTTAAAAGGAAGGCTAGAAAATAGACACAAGCACGATGATATAAACAGAGAATAGGAAGCGTGTAAAAACACTATACCAGACTCGGCCAAAGAGACTCTGGGTCTACAAAAAAATCCCAAATTGGAATTTTACTGGATCAAACAGATACCAGAGAAACAACCCACCTTCAGTAGCTGAAGCAACCTTGAATACAAGAAGCAGTTACCAGACTGAAAACCAACAAGTCACCTGGATTAGACAACATTAGCGCAGAATTAATAAAAGAAGGTGGCGACTTCCTATTGAATGCGATACACGAACAGTGAACATATAGAATAATAAGCAACTGCTACTACAGAAAAAGGGAGATCAGCTTCAATGCAAAAACTACCGGGCAATAACGCTACTGACTGTGGCATATAAAATACTGTCAAATATTGTGTATGACCGATTGAGACCATATGCGGAACAAATAGTTGGGTGATATCAATGTGGTTTCCGCAGGTAGAAGTCCACAATAGATCAGATCTTCGTCTTGACGCAAATCTTTGAAAAGACTAGTGAATTTAATATAGACACACATCATCTTTTCATTGACTTTGAGAGTGCCTATGATAGCATCGATCGAGAGTTTCTGATATATGCACTGAAAGAGTTTAATATTCCAACTCAACTCATTGATAAAAAAACACTTAAAGTACAAAGCAAAATTCGAATTCAAAACGAACTAATATATACAATCTATGTGAGAACGGGCCTACGACAGGGAGATGCCCTATCCTATATTCTATTCAACATCAAATTAGAGAAAATAATTAGAGAGTCAAAAGTCAATACCAGAGGAACAATAATAACAAAAAGTGTACAAATATTGGCATTTACAGATGATGTTGATATCATAGCTAGAAGTGAAAGAGAGATGATAGAAGCATTTAGTGGGATAGAAAGAGCGGCACAAAACAGTGGCCTAAACATTAATGAAATAAAAACCAAATACATGAAGGCTAGTAAATCGACAGGCCAAAGAAACCTACAGAATCTGACAATAAGAGACTATAACATCGAAAGCGTGAAAAGTTTTACATATCTAGGTTCACTAGTTACCGCAGAAAACAATATCGGTGAAGAAGTTAAGAGAAGAATACATATCGCTAATAAAACATATAATGGACTAATTAAATATCCAATATCTAACAATATCTCAAGACCAACCAAATGCAAAATATACAAGACCCTGGTAAAACCAGTCCTTGTATATGGATCAGAAACGTGGACACTGTCGAAAAGCGATGAGAACCCATTAGGTACATTTGAACGAAAAATCCTTAGACACATATATAAGGGGGTAAAGGAAAATGACATATGGCGCAGAAGATATAACTTCAAACTATATACAGCATACAATGAACCCGAGATCGTAACATCCATAAAGATCGGACGTCTGCGCTGGATGGGCCATGTTGAACGGGTATTGTAAACTGAAACGCCAAAACATATAATGACGCAAACACCAGTAGGGAGAAGGTCAAAGGGAAGACCCAAACTTAGGTACATGGAACAAGATCTGAAAACACTTAAGATTACCAACTGAAAAAACAACGAAAAGAACAGAACAGAATAGCGGAAAATCCTAGAACAAGCCAGGACCCAGAAAGGGTTGTCGAGCTACTGATGATGATGAATGTCAATTGAATTTTTAGTATTTAAAGCTTTTTGTCGTTTGTGGATTGTACAATGGGTCGAGGTGAAGTTGTTGATGAGAAAATTTGTTCAATCATTATTAGATTTTTTAATTCTGGAAAATCCAATTCAGAAAACGCGAATATGTTGCAATTTTCACTTTATAGTGTAAGAAATATAGTTATAACATACAAAACTACAGGTTCGGTCCTCACAAAACCTAGAAATGTACGAAAAAATAAAAAAAACCAACGCAGATCGAAGGGCATTAAGACGCATTATAGTAAAAAACATGATACTATAACAACAAGATATACTCACTTGCTGTTCTAATTTTAATTGACTTTGCGCATGTCGTCATAGCGAGACAAAGACAGGGGACTTGTATGTATCATATTTCAACGATGCATCATATGACAATGTTGTTCCATTACTGTAATGAACAACTTCAAAACTTAAACTGTTAACGGTAAGTATAACTCGATGCCATATCTTGCATTAAGAAGTCATAACTAGTTACTTTCTGCGAAAACGTGTTTTGAAAATTAATAAGAAATTTGTAAAATTAATTAAAAAAATATATAAACCTACAATTTGATTGTGTGTATTACAAACAAAATAAATATTGCTACAAAACATAAATTAAATATAAATGGTCAGCAAAATGTAAAGAATTTGAGATTTTATGAATATCATTTAGACATTTATTTTACAATCTTTGTGATTTTTCTTTTGCGGTATTGTAATTATCTTTAATATTTTGATTTAGAATTCGTATTTTAAAATACATTTCACATCTAAAAAAAAGTAATTTTACATCTTCGCTAACATTTACATTTTGCAGCTTCTATTAAGTTTTTTAAATAATTTTTTGTTATTTTTAATGTGTCGCCATTATAACTACGAAAAATATGTTCCAGTTCACTACATACTACATACATCCAAAGTAACGTTTTTTTAAAGACCTATCAAAAATAAGTATTACTTTAAGTTCTATTAAAATGGGCATAAGTATATATTATTATCTATAGAAACATTTATTATTATCCATAGAAATATTTACTCTGCTGTTATTAATATTAATATATTAATTCTCTGCTGTTAATAATATTAATTCTTTTTATTTATATAACTAGAATTGCATTAAATGAAAAATTTAAATTTAATTTTAAAGTTTAACTTGCTGTCATTAATTTTGACAATTTGGCATTTTGGCAAGTTGTCTCGGGCCTACGTCACAAAAACATGCGCGTTAACTTATCTATGAGTAAAAAATCGACAGGCAAATTATGTGAAGTTAAGAGTTTTATGGAGTGACGTTATTGGAAGATACGTTTCTAGATCAACATGTCACCGAGTGGCCCACAAATTAGGATTTTTTACTTGAGTCCATATTTGAAGTGTGTGTTGGAGATAGTAGGAGTTGCGTCATTCGCAGGAAAAATGAAGCTTTCCATCCCGACTGTCTGAAGAGA